AGGGCAAAACCTTCTCCAAACCTGTATGCTCTTATTTAAGAGTAATTGCCTCCTAAACCTACTAACTAGACCCTTAGAAGCAAGAACTGCAATCAAGCATTTACAATAACTGGCAATGAGTCTTTCACGTAACTAGAAGCTCATTTTTCTTTACAAAACTGTTTTAATTCAGCTACACTGCAGGGTTTTTCAGCGTGAATGACCTGTTTAAGGTCAAAGCGGTTTATTTTAAGCCCTGACACTGACTACACCAGTCCAAAACCTTCATTTTTTTATTTTTAAGCCATTAACAGGTGGACGTGGGGGTTTGTTACTGATCATTGTTCAAGTGTGTTTGAGCTTCTCCTCCATGATTTTCTGGTACAGCGCAGAATTGACTCCATCAGTTACAGGAAGTCAACCAGGTCCTGAAGCAGCAAACAGCCCCAGAACATCAAAGTAACACCATGTTTTACTGCTGCCATGTGTTCTTTTTATGAAATGCTACGTTAGTTTTACAACAGATGTAATGTGACTTCAGATTTCTTCTTGTCAGTGCACAGCATGCTTTTGCTTTGTCCAAAGTCTCTGGTGGGGGAGGGGGGGCAATTACTTTTCCTACATAGTACCCTGAAAAGTGCATTTTATATTTACTTGATTTATCTTTGTCTAATATTAAAGTTAGTCGTAGTTCCCTAGATATAGCTAAGCTATATCATTCAACATTATACTGTGACAGGAATAGAAAAAAGTGTAGTTCAACATGAAATCCTGAGAACTTGAATTTGTTTGAAAATATAATAGTAAGGTCTCCACTACTGAAGGCTTGTAGAAAGATAGGGGGCTGAAATTTAAGGGATGGCAATCAAGAACCTTGTAATTATCAGTCTGCTCGTCTGTGGATTCTGCTTTTCGTTTCCACTTACACTACAGTCAGCTGGAGGAGGGAAATAGTGGAACAGTCTGCCGCGTAGATGTGGACGTTATTTTTGTTGTTATTGCACAAAAGGACGACAGCATGTTAGTAAAGTTCAAACTGCATCCAGAACAGAAACAACTGCATTGTACTGCTAACAGAACATCACAGACAACGCTAAGCTAGCCAGAGCGATATTAAAGCTGAGTAAATGCTGACCGGGCGGGGGCGGGGTCACGTTAGCCCCGTGTTCATTTTTATTTGAAGTGTTTTCTATTTATTGTTTCATTATGACTTTCTTATAATGCTACAGTTATAAGACGGAGTGTTTTTGTCATAAGCCTTACTGCTGCCACAGATGAACCTTTCAGGTGCGTCTGGTATTAAATATCATCTAATGTTAGGCCTGTGTGCAGGCTTAAACTGCTTATTTGCCTTTTTTCAGTTACATATTTTCATAGAAGCAAAGGTTAGAACAGCAGAAGTCTGAATGCTATAATTCAAATTTGGGACTATTCTATTTCACTTAATAGAAAAAGTACATTACTGCTACAGTCTACATATTCTTTACATTTGCTATTTTATATAGTAATATTTTATGTTTGGCCTTTAGAGATGTGTTTTATAGATATGTTTGCAATATTAATTACACATTAGACCAGAAGTGCCACTGAGTGCTCATTATATAAACTCTTCATTAAGTTTGAAGTTATGCAATATGACTTATGGACATGATCACTTTGGTCATTTCACACAGAAGTAACTTCCTCTGTACAGCAGCAGCTTTGGAACTCAGTCTCACCTCTTCTTTCCAGAGTACCATTCAATAAAGAACCAGTGCAACACAAGAGGCAACATGGCCATAAACCCCAGATAGAGCCAGTCGTAGATCTCAGGAGACTCGATGCAGCGCTCACACACTTTCTGCATGTTGGCCCGCTCTCCTCGAGGACAAACCTGCCAAAACACATTATTGTGAGTACAATCTTAATCTCATCCAAATCCACTCTTAAAGCTGTCTTTCATTTAATTGCGCTGCTACATTCATTCAAATCCACCATTCAATGCTTTTTTAAAACTTTGAATACAGAACAGAACAACTGAACGTTACAACTTAACAATTACAGTTACTCCTTTGTGCTTACAACATATAAACGTAGTAAAATTAAAAACGTGATGACCTCAGATTACAGGAACAAAAGTCCAGACAGCGACTATAAAAACGACTGACCAGGAACAGTCGCAGGTGTCACAGCTGGTTTATTTAACGCTTTCTTTGGTGTGTGGGGAGACGCTGACATGCACTCTTCATTTTGCAGCGGATGACTTTCAGCTGGTGGAATAATTTCGTGGTACTGCTGCCTTTTGCTGCAATACTTTTACAGCATGTTTTGCAAATTACTGCATTTCGTTCTGCATCATCCTTGTGAAAACGAGTCAACAGCGAGTCTCGGTCACTCGCTCGTCTGTCACCATATTTTTCCCTAACTGGTAGAATATACAGACGCATGCTCAGCACAGTGCGCCAGGTGGAAAATTTTCCAGTTGGGAGGGGGGATTAATGATGCATTTGCAGCGTGTGGGAGGAAAAAATGATTCATTATCTATTTTACACTGGTTATTTTAACTGAAAATAAGAACACTGGTAGAGTAATGAGCATTTCTTAAGTGCTGGCTAGTTACAACCTTTCTAAGTGGAGACGGCATGTTCTCTCTGTGCCTGTGAGAGTTTGGCTTCTCCAGCTTCCTGCCACATGTCTCATGTCTCTGCACTGTTCCTACAATTAGTGATAGTCCAGGCTGTGATAGGCTCCACTGGCTCACAACTCGAACAAGCAGGATGAGCACTTCCAAATTTCCTCAGAACAGTCTGCTACACCACAATGACTGGATCTCAATATGGAAACCTGAATTATTATGAGCCGCGCTCTCTTTTATGATGCAAGGCGCAAAGTTAGACATACTGTCTATCCAACAGCACATCAGCAACAACTAATGTTTAGTACTCACACCACATTCTCCCTCCACTGAGCCGTTGACCATCATCCTGCCACAGTACAGCCCTGGACATGTTGAACTCACGGCCACAGCTGCAAGCATACAAAACCATAGTGAAGTGTGCAAGCATCAATACTATAGCACAGTATTTTCAATCAGGATGCTTGAAACTTAAAAATTGAGCTGTAAACTTTCCTTTAGCTTGGTGGTGGTATAAAGTTCATTTAAAACAGGCATGTCCAAAAAGTCTGGCCCGGGGACCAATCACGGCCCTTTCTGCCTACCTTAAAATGTATAATTTGTGGCCCACCGCCACAAACAGGATTAATAAAGTGTAATTTCTCTGTTCCTCATGTTGTCAGCAACATGAGATGTAACCAGTGAGTGTATACACCAACACAATACACACAATGGTAAGTCTCTTTAAAAATTAACCTGAGATTCAGCAGCTTTATCCCACACAGCTTGATCTTTGTGTTCATTTACTCTCCATATGCAAATGAAAAGTAGTTTTATTTGGTAATTCTTGTGTTATTGAAAATATTTTGTTATTATTATGATTTTTGAAAGAATAATGATTATATCTCAAAACCAAAAGATTGAGTAAGCTTGTTGGTCCTGGGTGACAGACTGGATGATGATGGCAGTGCAGAAGATGACGGGTAGCTCCTGTGACAGGCTGAACTTCCTGAGTTGCCGCAGGAAGTTCAACCTGTTGGGCCTTCTTCCAGACACAGTGTATGTGAAGAATATTGTACTTCCCATGAAAAGATGGATCCTAGGAATCTAAGGCAATCCACAGTGGGTCCACAGTACTGTTGAAGATGGCAAGAGTGGAGGGGGGGTTCTCTAAAGGTCCACTGTCATCTCCACAGTCTTGAGCAGATTCAGATCCAAGTGGTTCTTACTGTGTTGTGTGTATGTGACTTCAGGTCATCATACAGCCCACTCCAAAGTCAAAGGCAAATCCCACAGAGCACCACTGCACCTCCAATCACAATCATGGTTAGGTTGTCTGCGTCGATGAAAACCAGGGAAAATATACGTAGAGAGGACCGTTTAAGAGTTCCTCTCTGGTAAAATGATGGGAGGATAACAGCAAAAGACGGAGCAAAAAACACAGGAACATGCAAAGCATGAGAACACAAAGCGCTGAGGCTCCATCTGCAGCGACATCTCGGATCATCTACTGAGCAGATGCACCTGTGGTATCAATTTCAAAAATGCCGTCTTTCTTGAGTTATCATACTCACAAGATTTTTTAATAAAGTTTGACATCTGACCTTGAGATCACTAAGATTTCAACTCGTGTGAGATTTTCAATGTTAGACCTATGGTATGAATTTGAACATTTCTTCAGTTATCACATCCACAAACTTGGGTGTCGACCCTGGCCCAGCAGGGGGATAAAGATACCCCGTCAGCTTTTTACAGCTGAGGGGTAAAAAGCGGAGGGTTAAAAAAAATAGCAGGCCTACAAACAAAGTCTTTTTCTTAAGAAATGGAAAAAAATTCTGCAGGACGCAGAACCTGAGAGCATCTGCCCCTTCAATCGATCCCTCTCTCGTTTGCTGAAGCCTGATCAGAAATGGTCACAGCAGAGGGTTTGCTGTCATGAAGCAATGTTTAAGGAAAGGAAACAGGAAGAAAAGGTAGACCAAAGTGCACAAGAACTGAACTTTAAAAACAAGGAGCGACATGTCTATTGGAGTGATGACTCTAAAATCTTTGGTTCAAACTTGTACATAGAAAGTGTGTATAGAGCTTAATGACTGATTGTCTACTAGAAAACACAACGGATGCGCTCTCGTGGTTTGGCGCTGCAATGCAGCCAGTGGTGTTGGAGATGTTGTCAAAATGAATGTAATTATAAACACAGACATCACTGTCAGGCATCTCTCTCCTCTCGGTTTCAGTGGGATAACTGCGCGTCTTATTTCTGAGTTAAGCCTCCCATGCAACACAGCAGCAGAGACAGGACACAACAAGAGCCCCACTCACACGTACACGCCACTGCAGTGTATGTAACCGGCATGCAATATTTCTGTCACTTAGATAAGCTTCAAAGGCCGGGCGGTTGTTAGCTAAACTGCCAAGCTCACAGCTAAGGCTAACTCCCACATTTTATAAAAATACATATTATGAGAAACGCCGCAAAGTCTCTCAACACCTTAGGTATCATGTGAGGAAAAGTGAGGGTAAAAGGCGACCTCAACTTACCCATTTTGAGAGCGATATGACTTGTAAATCTGCCTTTTAAAACCACAGCTTAATCGTGTTTGTTTGGGACTGCTGTAACCGGAAGTGGACCACAACACTTCTCTTGTTTAGCCGACTGGTCTCCGCGTAGTGCTGCCCTCTGCCGTCTGTCGCTTTTCACTCCTTCTTGACATCTGTGGGGTTTTGTGACATTTGTGTTATTGTCACCTTCTGAGCTGCACCGGAATACTCAAAAACATCTGTGCTTTTTCTGTTTCTTATTTTTTAAGTGGAGCAGGTGGAGGAGCCTCAATATTAATTGCCATGGTTAATTCAGTAACATATAAGCAGATGTCTCATAAGCTAAGCTAACTGACTTCATTACTAAATATATTTGTTACTGCGTTTATGCACTTATCACTTGGATCTCATAACTCATCAAAACAGTTTGTACTTTTGTCAGTCAGAATTTTAGATCTATTGCGTTCCTGAATACTGTCAATCATTTAATTCGTTTTTACTATCAAATGACTTCAATCTATGTATGAGGGAGCAACGCCAGTAACACATTGTCAAAGTAAATGGGGTCTTTTGCACAGGTCAGTTTGTGTTGTGAAAAAAGGCATTAACTGTTTTGAGGACATTCATTA